AAGAGTGTGTAATTACAATGTTTCAAGATATCCAATATCATGATATTCCAAGATATTTTCCAAGATATCCAATCGTAGTTTTTTTTTACAATGTTCTAGGAGAAGAAGTATCGCAACAATTCCCACAATGTGAACACGAGTATTTCCACTGACTACTATCCGTATCCAAAATTTGTATTGGGTGGACACACCTCAGAGGTTCGTTTCTGAATTGCGGCGTTAATTTTGCATGCTGAATGTTTCGCCTTTACCAAAATGCTTTCATTTGGAATGCGTTTCTGCTCCGTAATATCATGTAACGTTTGGTTTTTGATGTTTTTAGAATAGAATATCGTTTTGTTTTCTAAATTTCGTCAAGTTAGAATTTAAAGACTCATCATCTCATTCGTATGAAATTTATCATCGATAATTCAGGTATCAGTGGCACAGTTCAGCTGTGGATCACGGTATATTGCATCAATCGACGATTCGATTTGTCGTCTTTGGCAATTCGATCGTTCGTTGGTTGAGAAACGATCGAAATCTTTGATGAAAACGAATGGCTTCGAACAAATCGAATACTATTCACTTCCGCATTCTCAGGGCACTGCCAGTCAAATGTGCGTTATCTTTATTTATTTATTTAGAGCAGCGTGTATTTTTATTCCATTTCATTCAATCGCACCATCTGCATTTGTGTACTGCAATTATTGGTTGAGGAAAATCGCCACAGAATAATTTTAAGCGTAACATGAATTCACGTAATTTATAATTGAGATCATTCACGTGCCTAGTGTTCATGAGTTCATGAGCTGAAGTGATATTGATCAATGCATTAATTCAGATAGTTAATCATAACAATTGTGTGTCTTTAAGGGAGAAACTTTGTGTTACTCCAGTTGATTCACCGTCGGCCAAGCGGAAAGCACCAATTAAAAGTCCGTTCACGAGTCCTTTCAAATCAGCTCCAAACTCTGGCCGCTATCTGAACGCCGAACGATCACCCGTCAAAAAGATCTCAAAGTGAGTCAATCTGAGTCAATCTCTAATGACCAGCAGAAACTAGATTGCCGAGATCGGTCATTATCAAGTTGTACATTATCAACCATTATGTATGGTCAGGGTCATGATTATTTGCTATCTTCGTCGAAAGAGGCTGAATCGGTAAGCCAACAGCCATCAATTATCACCGTAAAGAAGGAGTCAAGGAGTTCAAATGGTGACAAGGATCAATGCATTATTATTATTAGTCCTGATTGCATTTGCAGTATTAAAGCATGTAATATACATTATCAAGTATTAATGATAATCATTTATTGTACGTAATATCAGAAGTATCATTGTTGTATTTTAATGCAGATTATCATCATCGCCACTTTCACCACTACCCAACATTTGCAACGTTGAACTATCAGCGAAACATGCACGATCCTCTCGTCGTCTCGATTTCTCACCTGAAAATATATTCGCGTTCGAAAATGAGTCTGTCGACGACAGTCTCGCTTCAGTTGAGTCACCAAAATGCGCATTTTATTACAAGTTCGTTTCATTTTGAGGAGTCGTTTGATTATTTTTGTCAATTGATTTTTCAAAGTTATTACAAAATTGGAAGCTATAATATTACTATAATCTCAATAACAATTATCACAATACCACTGATTTTATTCATAATCATGGAATTGATCCGAATGGATCTAATAATCTCTCAATTGAACACATCAAAAACATTGATGGAGTTATCAGACTCATTCGTACATCGCAAACCGATTGCTCATAGCACTTTTGATGCGTGAATGTTTGTGAACTGAATTTGATGAGACTCAAGTTAAGGCTGCGAATTTTTGATGTGTTGATGGTTGGGCTTATCAAGTCATAATCATAGCCAGATAGATATCCGCTTCAATATGAACTGAATGAACATTGTTGCAGATATCCAACCGAAAATTTGCCCAATTGGGTTGAGGAGAGACATAAAACAAAAACTGAACAACAGCGAAAACATCCATCACCACCAATCACGATATCAGTCACTCCNAAAAGGATGTGTTCAAATATTATGCAGTTTTTCAGTCCACCATCTCCAGGGTTCCTATTTCACTCTTTGGTTTTAGACACTTTTGAATGTTTCTATAATTCATTCGATTCACAGCTCTTTTTGTTATTTGAAGTAGTAATTCTCTAATCGATCCTTTCTGTGGTTATCAATTGGAATATCTGAGAATATTAGATTGAATTGTGATGATCATGAATTTTTAAGAATTGCAAACTGTTCACGTATGATATCGCATGCGGAACGTGAGATACAACGTTCACCCCGCAAGCTGTTGCTAAAACAGCGTCTAAAAGAATCTGCGGAACGTGCACAAAAAGTTGGTCGGCAAGTGACACCACGTCGTTCGAAAGCAACCACTCGAAGAATATCGTCGACCGGTGCGAGAGGCGCGAAGTCATCTCATCGAATCATTACAGACCCAAAAACACCAACTTCAGCACCACCAATCACTGGTCAAGTTTTAACCGATAAAATATTATCTTCATCTTCTTCGCCGCCAACAACAACCACTACAAACAGTGCACCGCGAGTGGGTCGAACCATTAAAGATTTCTTCATGGCGAAACGTAATCTCAACACGTCTTCTTGAATGTAAATATTATGCGAACTAATGCTTTTATATGACTAGGACAGTGCGCATTCGAGGCATTTACAATTTATGTGACTTTCGAAGTAGGATGAGAATATCTTAAAATAGTGTCAATTTCACGGTATTCAATAACTTTGATGTGTCTTTTTTTCATTTGCTCAATGCTTTTTTAACAAACACTCATT